TTCTGAGACAATGTCTGTCATTGGCCTGGGGTTTCAAATTCAACTAGCCTGACTAGCGAATGAGATTTAGGGATTCTTCTGTTTCTACTTCTCAGTGCTAGGGGTACAACAAGCATGTTCCTTCCTGACAAGCTTTGTATGTTTGTGGTGTGTGTGTGTGTGTGTGTGCATGTGATTGATGGAAGTCAGGTGTTCACACCTGTGTTTACAAACTGGCCAATCCTCTAGTCCCAATACTTTTAATTTTTGACAAATATCTTTACTCATTGAGGGTCTTCTTTACCAACACAATCTATTGTTTCCTCTAGGAATAGATTGAATAGACTTTTGAGGGACACTTGAGACACTGTACTACGACCTGTGTCAACAGTGAGTGATTATCTCTGTTCTACAGTGCTGGGTAAAAGGGGAATGTGAGTGTCTCTGTAAACTGAACACAAATGGAACAGAGCCCCAGATGGTCTACAAAGAAGCTGAACATTCAGCAAATGAACACATTGAGAGTTTCCTTTGTGTCTGCTGGGAGGAAAACCATTGAAAGCATTTAAAGCAGGGAGAGAAGGAAGGAATCTTAGACTGACTGACTCCCAGGTCATAAACCCAGATTCTATCTTCAAATGATCCTCACTGACATCATCCTAAACAAAACAAGACAAATTCTGGTAGTAGTCCAAGAAAAGAGCTCCATTGTTTTCCATTACCTGCTACAAGGGATTTCATAACAGGCTAGTTGTTAACAGGTATGTGCATCACGTCACCCCTTTGGATGTATTACAGTGAACATGCACTTGGTTGGACCACAGTCCATACAAAGATGTCAGGAGAAGACATGAGTAGACAGTTCAAGTTCTTTAAGGGAATGGAAAGGGACTGCTCATAGAAATCTTGGAATTATCTTTATATGTTCTCTCGTATTGAGTAGGATTGATCATCATGGTTCATTCCAGAAGTCCTTTGTCTGACTCTAGGGGTCCAACCTATTGCTCAGGTAATGTTGCAGTCTGTTCTTTCCACTAATATTAGAAGCTAACTTCCACCTTCCAGGAGGTGGAGGACATTTCTGGTACCCCTTTGACCTGGTCTTAGCAATCCTTTCTATCAATGCACATTCTGGATTTAGCCCTTACATAGATGAGATTGGCCTAGTACTTTATCATTCATTCTTTTATCAGATTTGCTTGGGGATCAGCTCAATTCTCTGAGATCATGAGGTTGCCAGGACAGAGTGACCTGAAGTTGTTGAATGCTATTGAACCAAAACAACTTTTCCCCTGACTTATGGATTTAAATTTTCTTTCTGGGGGCTGAAGAGATGGCTTAGTGGTTAAGAGCACTGACTACTCTTCCAGAGTTCAATTCCCAGTAACCATATGGTGGCTTATAACCATCTATAAGGGGATCTAATGCCTTCTCTTGGTGTGTCTGAAGAGAGCTACAGTGTACTCATATACATATATATTTTATTGTGGAGTCACTTTTTTTTCCTGTAACTTTGATAGATCGTTCAGTGTTAATACAGCCATGCACATCTCGAGAAAGGAATGGTGTTAATGCCTTCAATAAAATGGTGTCACAGTGGTAGATTTAAAAGCATGGGTTATCTTTTCCTTGGAAGAACTCCAATATGTTAAGGAAATAAAAATTACAAAAATAAGTCAGCATACTCTCATAAATACTAGACGAGAAAAAGCTAACATAGCTTTTTGTGGTGTTCCTTCACACAGAGTTCTTTGCATTTCAGTGGGATTAGAGATTGCACTGGCCAATTATAATTTGGACTTCTCTAAATCAGATCACTCTCAGATGAGGGAATAAGCAGAATTAGCATGAAGTTGGATATGATCAAAGAGAAATACAGGAATAACCTTGAAAATGGAGAGTTGGCGAGATACCCAAGTTGGAAGGTCATCCTTGCTGTGGGGCCATATTGCCCTCTGCTGTATTTGGAGTCTAGCTTGCACAGGACCAGAGCTAATTCTCACAGACATCATTCTTCACAGTGTCCCTTTACATGTCCTTCGACAAAAGTTAGTATAAGAACAAAATAAAACTTTTACTTGTTTCTTAAACTGAAATTCCATTTCCTTGAACCAGTAGTCAGTTCCTTCTACAAACGTTATGAAAGAGACCACTTACAGCAAATATCCTCAAAGAGATATTAGACCAAGAGAAAAAAAACAAAACAAAAACTGCGTATCTCGGGCTTCTCTACAACATTGCTGCCTATCTGGGAGTTTGATGTTATTTTGGACCTGCAACCAAACTTCCTTTGTAGTTATTGATGGCTGTCTGAGCATTATGGGATATGTTTTCCACACCCTGTTTTCTCTTTTGTATCCTTTCTCCCTGGTATTCTCATTGTTCCTTCTTAGAACTTTGTCACCTACTCAGCAATGACTAGTAGGAGACCTCTCTCGGGTCCTTACAAAACACAGCCAGGTAATAACAACTTATTGTCTCCTTTCCGAGGCAATTTGCATTTAATTAGGATTCAAGAGCATCATTCTGAAAGCAATGTTCTCAGCAGGTAGAAGTCTGGTGTTAAATGAGAGATGCAAGAGAACTGGGGGGAGTGAAGACAGGTAAAGAGACACTACAGTCCTTTCTAAAGTCTCCACTGGACTAAGTTCCTCTTCTAAAAGAGAAATTTCTATAGTTATTTCTTTTGAAATTGTAATATAATAAGATCCTTTCCTCCATTCTCTTCCATCCCTCCCTCAGACTCCTCCCATGCACCCACCACCATCTCTCTCAGACTCATGACCTCTTTTTTATACATATAGACAAATACATAGACTCCTAAATACAGAAATGCAGCCTGCTTAGTCCATACACTATCTCTATGGTTCACAGCTGACTGCCTGGTATTGGATAACCAATTAGGGGACTCTTCCTGGAGAAGACCATCTCTCCCACCCTAACAGGAAAGGGGAAGTACAAGGGCTCTCAAAGGAAGGATTTCGTCGGTGCCAATGAATGAAAGTCAACCTGCTCTATCATCCTCATAGTAATGTCCTTATTTTATTTACAAGAACTATGTATTCTAATGTGGGTTTCTTATAATTCTCATAAGCCAGTAAAGTAAGTCCGGTCCCCTCCTCCCCAGTTTACAGAGGAAGTGGGACTTTCTGGTGTCAAGGCTACACCTCAAGTTTCTCTCATCTTGGGGGATGCCTTGTTCTATTATCTCTCTAGAATTACATCCTGCCTTTCTTTCTCATTCTTTTTTCTGTTAGCAAAACCAAGACTTATGCCATCCCATGTACAACGTTACTCATAGCCAAGTTCAGGATGCTGACCTTTGTGATCTCATGTGTAACCAAATGCCAGGTACCATCCCCATTCATCAAAGTTGTTAGTGGACTCCCTGTGGGCATCCAGTTAAGTTTTTACTTTGCCTTCTGAAAAGCAATGTCCTTTAAAGGTAGTAAGAAATAAGATTTTCCCACTCAGGAAAAAGAATCTTGTGTTACTTTACTGCTGACTTTTTTAATGTTACAAATTAGATGTTAAATTTGTACAGTTTTATCACTAGGTATATGGCTTTTGATTATTAAGCAGTGCTTAAAAAAAAAGAACATTAGTACTAAATACTAGTTTGACTTGATTGTCACACTTGGTAAGTAGAATCATTCACATTGGAATAGAGCAACCCAAAATGCCAAAGATGGTCATAATAACATAATTGATAACTTTACACAGTTAAGTATATCTAGTTCCACAGACAATAATTAAATGAATAAAAAGTAATAAAATACCACTTGGTTTCTCTATCAATGCTTTAACATCTAAAAAAAGAAAAGAAAAGAAAAACCTTTAAAAATTAACTCTATAAAGATGCTATATCATTTCCCCCAAAAAGGTCAGCTCTGGCCATTTGCTATGAAGATTACATTTCCCATGTGTCGTGCTTTTTAGAGACAACTACGAGAGCAACCTGGCATCTGTGTCCATTCTCTGCAAAAACAGACTCTACTTTCCCTGAGACCACCATTCACAGCCCGCTGGTGCGTGACTTCAGACGTCCCACAGAGGCTAACACAGAGCTGAAACAGCGGAAGCTTCGAGACGGTCAACAAATTCACATCCTAGGCATAGATTAAGCACTATGTGACGTATAGGATAAATAATCGTTCGAGTTTAAGTACAGGGGACGCTATGGGAGTCCCTGTGTTACCTGTTTCTGCTAATGTAACTGATGGGACAAGACACAAAAGAGGACACACTCGGAGAAAGAAATGCTCCGTGAAGCAACTCCGCGCCTCTTCTAATACGTGTGTTCCTCAGGGGTCTTTTGTTACTCTGGAGCATATTGGATTATCCTCCCAATTACCTTGGCAACTAAAACAAGGGCTCCTCATATGCTGATGATTTTAGGTGATTGCACTAACTCTCGGTAATAGATGATAATTAAGGCACCTTAATTATTAAGCAGGATTGAAAAGTGTTTTGTTGTTATTGTTGTTGGTGGTGGTGTGTGCGTGCGTGTGTGTGTGTGTGTGTGTGTGTGTGTGTCTTTTTTTTTTTTAATAAACCTTGCATTGCATCCTAAGCACAGAGGAATTCAATTACCAGCCAAATTCTTTCTCTACATTTGATCAGCAGTTTGGAGCTTTTTGTCTCTAAGGCTGGTAAGTAATTAGAGAAATTGCAACAACCTTGAAGACACATAGTCCCATCCTTCCCCCCCCCCATTCGTAGTTATGAATGTAGCAGAATGTGAAGATTGAAGGCAGCATTATTAGCCAGCTTACCTTGAGAACAATAGCAACATTAACAAAGAGGCTGTCCTCATAAAGGGTCTGTGCAGTCGCTTAGGCAATGGAAAGTGTCCCTTTTATTCTGCCTTGCATAGCCTCAGCCAGAGGTTAAGCATTGGAAAGCAGGGATTAGCCAGAGAAGGAACAAAGCGTTATTAGAAAGCAGAAAGTCTCCCCAGCACCAGCCTTCCCTGCTTCTTTCTTTAAAATCATAAGGGCTTAATGTAAAAGAACCAATACCTTCAAGTGAGCACATTCCAGCACAGTGAGGGTTGTCGCGACAGCTGCTATGCAGAATGAGTTGCTTGGGCATCTATCCCTCTCTTCTTAGATACCGGGCTGCTCTGTGGCTACAGCCAACGTAAGAAGCGTTTGCAACAAACATATGGGCGCTGTTCACCCGCAACGGAAGGAGACTAAGCAGCTGGGCTTGGTGCTGCTCGCTTGCAGGCATTGGATCTTTAGACCCTCTTCATCTGATTGGCTGTCTCCTCATCTCACCGCACTCTTCTGCCTTAACCTTTGACTATGCTCAATATATTTCCCCTAGGGATACAGTCAGAGAATTACCCATTAGGGAATCTGTGCCAGGTTAAGTTGAGCTGGTTTAAAGAACCAGTGACGTTGATTCCCTGTGATTGTGTCTACGCTTAATTTCCCAGCGTTCTGGGTAATCTACCTACCTGGGAGATGTGAGTATAATGTAGCAGGAGTGGTTTCATATTTCCTCCCTGAAAATGTCACGAGTCTAACACCTGCATGACACGCACTGAAGTGATCGGGTGGCTCTTTGCAGCCCAGCTTGTCTGGATAATCAACCTTAAATCCAAACAGATGGGGATGACAGAAAATATTAAGAAGGTTATTAAAAATGCCAGGAGATGAAGTTGGATAACTGCACAGAAGCCGTCTCAAGAATGTGTTATGAATTGATTACATAGAAAGTCTTTACAATATTCATCATTTATTTTACACAGTATTGATATAAAAAAAGCAAAAATCTGTGACAGAACTTAAGCCGAATCAAGGTATCTAGAGAAAAGTGTAACAGAAAAAAAAATAACAACTTTACTTTCTGCAACTACTAAAAAGAACCAAAAAGTATAACTTTATCAGCTTCAGCTTTACATATATTGAGTTTGAATTGGTCAAGAGCTTCAGATATTGAAAAATAATAATTTATATATAAATTTATATATATTATATATTTTATACTATACATTTTATATATACATATATAAAAATATATGTGTATATTAAATGTGTGTACATAAGCATGTATGTATGCATATATATGCATAAATGTACACACACACCAGATAAAAGGCTTTTGAATGAAGGTAGTGAATTGATAACACATTTAAAATTTTCTCTTTTAAAACCTCACCAAAATGATCACAAAGTTTTTACTTTAAAAATCTTTGAATAAAAGGATGAAATGATGAGAAAAATAGTAACCAAATTTAGAAAAGGAAGAAGCAGATAGTCCAGTGATTAGAGGACTCAGAAAGCACTAAATGTTCAACCAGCAAACGATAGTCAAGAAGCAATGACATTCGAGAATCTACAGCTACCAGTGCCCCTCCTCTCCTGAGCCTTGATTGATAGCACACTTGATCAGTGGAAAAAGGGATGAAGGTGGGGCCAAATTACAGTAAATGAAGCTAAGGCAGCAGAACCCTGTTATACCAGCCTTCAAGAGGCAGGCTGAAAGTTCATGTTTGAGGCCAGCATTGGGTGCAATAGAAAGTTCCAGGTTAGCTTGGGATACATAATCAGACCTTGTCTCCCCAAACAAAAAACCAAAGACACCACACACACACACACACACACACACACACACTCATACACATGCACACACCCTAAGAACAGCTGGTGGTTTGACTGTCTACTCCATGAAGGAGAACACCAAAGCTTTATTCTTTGCAGAGATTGAAACAGAAGGTCTCTGGACACATGGGCGAGAATGAAGGTAGCTAAATGAATAAACATTGTCAGGAATGGGAAGTGGATGTGCAAAACAGCTTCTAGGACTTTCTTCATCCAGCATCAAAGATACAGACAGCAAAGTGTGAAGAATATTCTCTGTATAGCATGACTGCTTCAAGCTATTTTTATTTTTAAAGATCAAGAGACTGATTCTAGGGTGGTTGAGCATGAAACATTTGATAAATTCCACAGGCTAGCCTTGAACTTACAACTTTCCATTCTCAGCCTCCAGAGTAGTTGGGATTACAGGTCTGTTACACTAGTCTGTCTCCCAAAGATAGGACTTTCGGACCTTATGTCCAGAACATCTACTACTTAATCCCACCTTAGTAAGCTCTGCACATGAATTTTCAGTGTTCCACTCTTATATATAAGGCGATCAAATATCTAATATAAAAGCAGAGAAAGGAGCAAATCACAAATCAACAAACAGTCAAATAAGAGTTGGAAAAATAGTAAGTTGGAGATAACTATATATATATAAAATTTCAGTTCACCATCAAAAGAACAGTTTAGATACCATCCTTGATAACCTTTGAGAAATTATATTTCTATTCCTAGTAACACAATACTTCAGCAAAATAAGTTACTTCAAAAAGGTAGAAATAGATTTATTATTACTCATATTGCTAATATAAAACCACTTTGAGCTTCTTGATACTATCATCTCAAGGACATAGATGTGATTTTTTTTTAAAACTATTGCATATGGATGAAATGGCTGTTATAAGAAAGATAAAGCTGACTCAGGGGCTGTGACACTGGTCACAATGATACACAGGACCTATGTAGAGATTTCATAGGATTAAAAGCACAAAATATGAATGATTGGAAACCGATCTGCATTTAGAAAATTCTGTAATTTACCAAAACATAGAAAAGAAAAGCATCCTAAGTTCTATCAAGAAAGAACAGCAAGTTCTGTGCCAAGAAAGAAATCATAATATTTTTAATGTTTTAAATTACACCATACCAACTAAATATTAGTTTTAGAATTCTATTTCCCTGTACATTTGTAATTGACACTATGAGAGTTTTTAATAATATGAAAAAATGTTTCCCATTAAAACTATTTTTTATGGTTTCAGCTTGTATGATCCTTTCTTCATGCCTCCTTCACCACACCAATTGAAGACTGATTAAATTGTGTGCATGAAGTAAGAAGAGACGATGGGTATGGTGGTGCCTGCCTGCAATCTGCACTACTCAGGAGGCTAAAGTTCAAGGTTAGCATGGTATACATAGTTTCAATGCATTCTGGGCTACAATTAAGATCCTATCATAACAGTAACAATAACTAACAAAAACAACAAATAGCCACAAGAAATACAAGAAACATGAACAGTTCTTTAATAGTGGGATCAGAATATCAAGTTGGAGAAATGATCTTGAAAGCTGAATAAAATGGCAAAAAGAAAAATTATAGGACATAGAAAATTAGAAATATATTCTTGGCATCCAACATAACAGGATATCAGGAGAGACTGTAAAAACAAATAAACAGGAAAAAAACCAAAAGGAAGAAAATAATCACAAAATAACTCAAAGTCTGTGGTTTCACGTTTCGACCCACTGTTGGGGTGTGGGAATGCCCCTGCTTGGGCAGGTGAAATGCTGGCTGCTCAACTGCATTTACCCTGTGCCACATAGGGTGCTGGGCTCTAGGGAAGTGCAAACATACTGCTCAGAGGGTGGGAAAAATGCAGTCTTGGATGTAGGAGGCTGAGGCTGGGGTTCTCTGTCTCTTGGGAATCCAGTCACTGCTGGAAGCCATGCAGATGAATCAGGAATGGAGGATTGGGGTCCATGGGCCTGCAATGAGGCCAGGGCCAGGGGTTCTCAGACCTGGACACCCAGACACCACTGGAAGTTGTGGAGGATCCAAGAACAGAGGAGGCCTGTAGGAAGAGGAGTCAGTGGTCAGGGAGATGGGGGAACTCTGGTTTAGCTCAGTGGGTGGCAAGTCTGGGAACATGGACGGGACTTCTGTAGGAGATTTAGGCAGCATGGCTCTATAGAAGAAGGCTTTCTCCAAGCTCCCCACAGTGGTTCTTGATGAAAGAGATAGTCCATGTTTATCCATACCATTTATTGACTGTTCATCATAAAAATGGGTATATACCACCTTCTCATGGTAGACTAGAGATTAAATACCTTTGCAGGAAGGAATGTCTGGGAAATGAAGCTTATTGGCTAAATACTCAGGGCCTTTAGATACCCCATTAGCATAGAGAACTCTGTTCTGATCTATGTGACCATAGGTCATGTTCCTATATAGGGAGTGTAGTCACATGACTGAGGTCTGTTAGGAAGCAGGTGAAACTCCTACTATCCCCTCTGGATTACAGGGCTTCCAACCCACTCAACTTTACCAAATTTCCTGGTACAGTTCACTGCCTCTGAGAAAAATCTGTTCTCATGGGTTTCTAGAATGGAAACCTGTGATAAATGCATATGATTGGTGACGTGAAGGCTCATAATTAAGAACTTCCAGAGAACTTGGGGGTATGAATTTTATTGCTTTAAAGAAGAATACTATATATTGTATTTAAAGGATGAAAAATTAAATGGATCACTTCATTACAAGACTAAAAGCTGAAGGCAATGAGAAAATGTCTATAGAGAAATGGGCAGCTACTTAAAAATTCCATACCCAGCTAAAATATCTCTCAGTTTTGAGGTAGTTAACTAATATCTTTTCCAGTGAGTTTATTGGAAGGTGTGCCCTGTAGAGATCATACACACACACACACACACACACACACACACACATACACACACATGTACAAAGAGAGATAGAGACACAGAGAGACATAGAGACAGTGACAAAGAAATAAAAACAAAGAAACAAGGAGAGAGACTGAATATTCAGAAAAATGAGTTCCAACAAAATAAAAAGGTTAAGGAATCTCTTACTTCTTAGAATGGTTTAAAATAATATTTCAAAATAAAGACTATATAACTATAAGTACATATTGGAATAGGCCAAAACTTTCTGGGAGAGATGGTTTCAGACAGATAGAATAGAATATGTATTTGATATATTGATGAAAGATTGTATAATTGGGGGAGTACATTAAGATATATTAGCAGTAAGTGTGCAAACAGATGAATTTAAAAAGAAAAAGAAAAAAAAGACATCATTGACTTGTAATTCTCCTTTGATTAATTTCTCTACAGCTCCCATAGTGTAAATACTCATACAGGCAGAAGTTACACCAGTAAAGAAAACTGGTTTTCCAATTCTCCCCATTGGTAATCAAATGCCAATAGCTCCTCAACTACAGATGCGACTTCGTGCCCACTTCCCCTCTTCTGTGCTGGGATTCTGTCTGGCTTGAGTTGGTACATGTCTTCTGCACGCTGCTAATAGACGTTATGAGTTCATGTGTGCATCTGCCCTGCTGTTGTATCTGGAAAATACTGTTC